CTTTCATTGAACGACCATTCACTGGAAGAACGACCAGGCTTCATGCAAAAAGCTGACAATCATGTACGCTGCAGGCCCGCGTGGTCTCACAATGCAACACCTTCATCCCAACCATCGTATTTTCCTCTTATGTACGGGATGATGTCAAAACACAGCCAATATGGGTCCAAGTCTTAAACTGCAGCGTAGGGACCATTCGTATTATTAGCGATCTGCAGTTTTGGCGCAAAAACGTATGATCGCACGGGCAGGCCTGGTACATTGTAGTTTGAGTTCTTTTTAGAGATGTACGATCGTGGATTTGGCGTTGACACTGTTGATGGGGCTGATGGATATTTCGATCGTTGGTTTGCATGTGCATCGCCTCTCCCGCAACCTCGATGCATGGAAGCTCAGGAACAAAGAGCGAGGTAACATTTCTTGTCATAATAATCCCAAAAATCTTCTAATTTTCATTTCTTACCTTCTTTTTCCTTTCTTTTTTCCCTTTCTTTCCTATTATAACTTTCTATTATGCTTTATCTCTTAAAATGGACGGCAATAATTTGTTCTCGTGTTTCACAACAATTCGGCCTCGCCCCGTTACATGCAGATTTAGGTGAACTAGTGATACGCAAATTTCAAATTTTTAGAGTATCACCTATTGAAGCGGATATATTGGTATCCTATGCAACTACACCTGGCTATGTTTCGTGGCGAAATTCGGTGAGAGGCAGCTGGTTCGTGCAGAGTATCTGTGAAGTATTTGCAAAATATGCAAAAACAACCGATATTTTATCTATGTTAACACTGGTAAGCTTCACGTACGTAATTTTATTGATTTTGCTCATTGTGGCAGGCAAGTATACATTGTTACATAATTTTTCAATCGATTTCAGGTGAACAAACAGGTTGCCGATGCATTTGAGAGTTCCACGGGATCATTCAAGCAAATTCCGGATCATTCCTCCAGGCTGCGCAAAGATTTTTACTTCTTTCCAGGCGTAACAAAGCCATTCACTTGAGCTCCGTACAGGTATCTGATATTCAATATTCCTGTAGATTCCTTCATTTTTGCGACACTCCAGTCCCGTGATCTTTTGTTTAAATGCGCCAACTGAAAGGGTTAATTTGATTTAAACAAACTTATTGATTCAGTCGCTTAAATAAAAGCTTGTAATGTAGAAAATTGAACATGAAATCTATTATCTGTACTAGGCTGGAAGCTAATAGAAGAAAGCTAATTTGAATAAAAATGAATTCCTCCAAGCACGACCATAGGCAAATCCAGGGGAGAGAAGGGAGGGAGAGCGTGGGGGAAGTGGAGGGGAAAGAAAAGGGATGAAGGATCTTCCC